CCTAGGCATTGTATAGATATATATATTATACATGTATGTATTCTTACCTTCATTGCCATCGTTTACTTGCAAGGATATGGAAGGGGTTCTCTTGGGAATGGATGACTTTCTTGTCACAATTGAATTGATGATATTTGGGATGCTGAGTTTTCGTGCTCTGGGTTCTGATCCTGGAGATTGTTCATTATGTTGTTGATCGGACTCAAACCCAGGATTGTCCACACCGACGGTAGAGACTTGAAATCTGGTTTGCTGACTATCACCTGAAAATGAATATTACGGCATGTAGATTGACATATGATTAGAAGTGGCGTGCTGCTATTAAATAACAAAATTCAATAAATTGAGCAATTCAATAAAATGAGATTTAAAAAAAAAACGAGACTTTGAATGTGAAATTGGCTACTGTTTTTTCACGTGGTCTTTCTATGAATATCTTTCGTGACAACCTGTAATCGGAAAAAACTGAAGACAGTCACCACTAAATAAATCAAGGGGCGACTAAATATAACCAATGGCGATTAGAAATTGTATGTCATTCACTATCCGATCGTTACTTGATGAAGTAGTGGCAAAATAAACAATAAACAATAGTAGGCACCCACTAAGGATAAGGAAGGATTTTTGTTGTTGATTTTCTCACCCTAGGAATGTTAAATAGGGGCTGAAAGGTAGTAATCTATAACAATGGTTACCAACTGGAGGCCTTTTTTTATGGCCCATGAACTAAAATATATTAGTTGTCATTTTTTTGAGGACAATTTTCGTATAAAAATCAATATGGGTTTTAAATACCTTTAAGTTTTATATCATAACAATTTGATATCTGTTGCACATTAATTGTTTAATACGTAGGTTCACAATTAAAGTTATTGTAGCCAGAATTTTTTAATATACAATTAAATATTTTTAAAAATCTATTTCTTATTTTAATTTTTAATTCAATACTTCTGTTTTGTACAATTTGATAAAAATCTGACAGTAATATATAATGTTCCTTCAAACATAAAAGAGTCCTATATAAAATTTTGATAAAATTGCGGCCCGCAATTTGTCTGTTGATTTTAATTACGGCCCCGGTCCTCATGTAAGTTAGAAACCCCTGATCTATTATAATAAAATGCAGAGCCGTGATTGCTCAGCGGATACAGCGTTCACCTTCCAATCAGTTGTACCGGGCTCGTATCCCAGCGATGGCTGGTCGACATGAATTCCACCAACCACAGTGCTGACGTGAAATATCCTCAGTATTAGACGAATCATGGGTTAGAGTCCCCTTTCCGTCAGGCTAATCATGGGAGATTTTTGTGGTTTTCCTCTCCATGTAACGCAAATCCATTAAAAGGTTCTCCACGAAGGCAAATTTCTCCCAATACATGATGCAGGAGTTCCTTTGTCTTCTGGATTGGGTTCAAAATTGCAAGGCTACGGAGTTGAACATCAGTAGTCGTAAATCCAAAAAATTGGGTCGGTTGTTCAGCGATGGATATAAAAATACAAAATAAAATAATAAAATGCAAAATTTGTGTATGTTTATCAGTGTGCCTCATATAACTCTAGAATCGTTTGCGTTAGCGTTCGGAAACTTGGACAGAGGATGAAAGGTATACCTGCCAACTTTTAAAATTTTCAAAAAACTTTTATCTCAACGAAATCTCTTGAAATATATATAACAGTTAACTGAAACTCTGGCGAAATATGCTTAATTTGACGAAAAATGCACTTTTTCTGAAGTAACATACCTTTTTTTTAATCGATTAATGGGGATTTGGGGTTAATTTGGGGATTGGGGGTAAACGACAAAGTTCTGAAAAAGCATTACACTTTAACCGCTACAACGGCTCAAATTTTTTTTTTCTTTAATGTGTCTCATTTCTCTTCATATTTTTATAATGATTGGTTAAACTACAATAATTCTCTCACCAAAAGTTTTATGTCTCCAATTTAAAAACAAATATGTAATATAATGGTAAATTTAGATTAGCTAAATAAGTCTATTTAATTAAATTGTTAATGATAAAAATGCTTTTGAGCTTTTTTTTTCTTCAGAAAAAAATACGATTGTATTAAATACAATATTCAAAGAAAAGTAATTTGAAGAAGAGCCTCAAAACTCAAATAAATCTTGTTAGGCTAAATTAAGCCTTACCTATTGAAATGCAGTGCTATAAGCGAAAGCAGAGAGCACACCGCACTTTACTATACTCAATACTCAATACTTAATACTCAATCTATATATATATAAATGAATGTGTATGTATGTGCTTTATAGACTCCTAAACCATTCTACAGAAAGCGATGAAATTTGCCATACAGATAGTTTCAAGCACGAGAAAAGTCACTGTTAACATTAGAACATTCTGCGACAAATTGTTCTTGCATGATGAGCGTAAAACGAAATGGAATTTTCTGATTGGTTAAGCGTTAGCCATTGTTTTAAATTTAACGATTCAATTTTCACATATTTTAAAGATAACATCAGTGATAATTGCTAGCTTATAGCTCTGTTTGGTCAAAAAAAATTTCTTGCATGTATTTAAATATTAAATAATTTTATATTCGCTATGTCAGATTAAGGTTCCTATACTATCAGAGCTGACCTATCAAGCAATATTGGAGCAAACAAGTTCGCAAGTTAACGTTATGCTAGTATTAGTTATGTTATGTACTTATGTTAGCTCTTTGCTCCAAAAATAGATGATAAGTCGGCCTGTCTAATTCAGGGGCTCTATGTCAGATGAATTCGATGAACATTACGTGGTAGCACGCGTGGTTTACGTCATCAAATTTATACTTTGTCTGATTAAGGCTCCTATATTATCATGACGAAATTTGGAAAATACAATTTGGAGAAATGGCTATTCTCCAAAATCCCTATCAAGTTTTCTAATAAGAATTCAGTTTTTTTTAAAAAAATTTCGGCTTTAGTTGGCTGTCACTGACAAATATATTTTTCACAACATTTAAATGTTGAAGGGTTATATAATAAGTACCAAATATGCTAATATAGATATAAAATATTATAATGATATATTTCGTTATGATTAAAACAGAACCGATACTAAGTAGTTTAAATACCGATACTTTAGAACGGCCATTATAAAAGGATATGTACCGGAAAAATTTATTTGATAATGGTAAGGTTTAATTATTATTGGTTTTGCTGCGAGTAATGGCATCTTGCCAAATGATGCTAAATACATTTGCACATTATTTTAATGGGATGATTTACAAAAAGCAAGTTTTGCTTACTTCAATAACGTAAAGCCGTCGTAAATGGCAACAAATAATATTGAATAATAAAAAAAGTAATTTTAAGTATATTAATTGAAAAACTTAGTAGAAGAAGCAGGTAAGTGCCATTTTCATAATGAAAAAAAAAAGTTGTATCCGAACTATTTCATTAGCAATTTAATAGAAGACAGGACTAATAATTCTTTGCTTTATTGTTCTCAATTTTAAATAAAACCTAACTACCTAGAAAATAAAACCTTATTGCCTAATTTGAAATAAAAAATCATACTAGCATACTAAAAATTTATGTGATTAGTTGTGTTAAGATTTATAGAAAGACAAAACCAGTGATTCATCAACTCCCCTAAAAATGTCACTTACCTGGTTCTTCCATTAAGCTCTTTCATTGTGGTCGCTATGTGCTTTTCAGTTATGAGCATGATTTCGTTGTGTTTCTCTACTGTGATTTATTGATACTTTATTTACTTTTTATTCACACGGTGTGAAGAACGGGAATTCAGCTAGTTGTTTATAAAAATGATTATATTTTCAAGGGAAAATAAATTACTGCTATTAGTTAAAAAAATTATTGAAATTACAGTGCGCAAAATAAAAAAGTTATCACCCAGAATAACCGTTCCTAATAATCGGATTTTCACGAACTAAATGTCAATCTTAATGGTTCCTGGGGGTGACGACTTCAAATATGCTAATTAATCAGTGCAAACTACTTCTTAAACTACGAAATCAGAAACGTACTTTCTCTAAACAAACATAATTTTTTTTTTACACATTTAGATTCCTGACCCTCAAAATAGGGGGGAAAATAGACAAAATTTCGAAAAGATTGGATGATAAATGGGGGGGGGGCGTACTAGGAAGCTATATTTATTATGAGATAGTATTAAGAAACAGCCAAGCTAAGCGCCATCGTAAATGAGTAATTTAAAATAACCATAGACAGATTCAAAAGAGCAATACCTAATTTTGCTCCGTTGCTAAGCAACCAAGTTCAAATAATAAAAAAATGAAGTAATATTCTATAATTGCTCGGAGAGGTTTATTTATTAAAAATTATTAGAAAATATCTCAAAGTTTTTAGCGAATAAACATTTTTTCAGCTGATTTCTGTGATAAAAAGGCAAAGATTTTTCTTCTTTTTAATCTTCTTTTTAAAAAAATTGCATCGATTTACAATCGATCGATTGAATGTTAAGTGCCATTTTAAAAACATCGAAATATGTTACGTTTAAAAATAACATGTAGTAATAATATGTTGTATATGTTACCGGCAAAGTGTAAAACGCCGGCATTGTATAGAATGCCTAGGCATTGTATAGAATGCCTGACGTTTTTAGGCAAAGTATGAAATGTGAGAAGTATTACATACTTTGCCTGGGCATTGTATAGAATGCCTAGGCATTCTATACAATGCCGGATGCTATTTAGGCAAAGTATGAAATAAACGTCCTGATGAGATTATTATGTAAATGATGTGCATGTTACTGTGAATGAGCGAAATCGGTGATTGCTGACTTTCACCGGTGAAAGTTGACAATCACATAGTCGCTTTGGTGAATGTCCGAAATATTTATTACATCCGATTTCATATTAATTTATTCGTGGATATAATTACATTTATTCGATATTTTAATACTTACTGACGATAGATTAGAAGAAACATCATTGTTTGGAGTATCGGGCAAATATAACCGGGCAATGGCACTTGATCTTAAAAAAACATCAGTGTTGGGTATACCGGGCAAATGTATACCGGGCAAATGTATACCGGGCAGTGGCACTTGACCTTAAAAAAACAACATCATTGTAGGGTAAACCGGGCAAATGTATACCGGGCAATGGCACTGAACCTTAAAAAAACATCAGTGTAGGGTATACCGGGCAAATGTATACCGGGCAATGGCACTTTACTAGACCTAGTATGACTAGGCCTTTGGCAAATGTCCGAAATATATACTAGGTCTAGTTAAGTGCTACTGCCCGGTATACCCTACACTGATGTTTTTTTTAAGGTCAAGTGCCACTGCCCATTTGCCCGGTATACCTTACACTGATGTTTTTTTAAGGTTCAGTGCCATTGCCCGGTATACATTTGCCTGATACTCCAAACACTGATGTTTCTTCTAATCTATCGTCAGTAAGTATTAAAATATCGAATAAATGTAATCTATCGTCAGTAAGTATTAAAATAACGAATAAATATAATTATATCCACGAGTAAATTAATATCAAATCGGATGACGTTTTGAATTTGTCATTTTTGCATGACATTTTGACGAATCTGAGATGCATTTTATACTTTGCCGGTTTCTCATTTGGCATTCTATAGAATGCCTAGGCAATGTGTGAAATATAAATCATTTCATACTTTGCCGGCTAATTTTAGGCATTCTATACAATGCCTAGTCATTCTATACAATGCCGGATTTCATACTTTGCCGGTAACATATATAATAGGATTCATTCTTTAAAAAAATCGTTTCATTTACTCGAATATTTAAGATACATGATTTTATTTGGATAAAAATGATTTGCAAACAGTATCTTGATGCTTGTATACATTCTGAGACTTATTTTTGCAAATTCATCATAAAATATTGTTCAAACTGTTCTTCAATTACGATCAGTTACATTTATCACACAATATCGCAATTTTGATCTCTTTGTTTGTTTGTTTTTTCTTCTTTAATTTATATACTTATTTTTCGATTGCCACCATCACTATATATATCTGATACGATACTCTCCTTTTAAACGAAGTTCGTGAAGAATAAGAAAATAAAAATGTAGCAGCAAAACTTAAAATCTCAATTTCGTTTACTCCAAATATCTAGTTGCAAAATTTTAAATTTAAAGTTAAAGATAACTTCTTAGTCACAATATTGATGCTGCGGCTCTCTTACGTTTTTAAGGACCACATGAACCCTGTTAAAATATTAAAATTCAGATGTTTACTTTTACGAGCATAAAACTCTTATCCAGATAATCATCAAGACCCATATGTAGAACAGTATAATTGATCATAAAAACTTCTCAGGCTTCAAAAAACATGAAGATGAAAATAAAAGTCGACATCGAGCATTCCAAAATAGGTGCCCATTCTCAAGATTCGTCAGGCATGAATGACTAGTGACCTTCATTTTCGGACGCTCAAAATATGTCTACTTTTATTATCATCTTTATATTGTTTTAAACCAATCAAGTTTTTACTTTTTCGCATCGGCCTCTTAGGATAATTCATTTAGTAACTCAGTATATTTAATTACTTCAGTCAATTTTAAAATAAGTCTTACGTAAGATAATGGCATAGGCTCTTACATTTTAAAAATAATGATAATTAGTCACAATTTTATTTAAAAAAAATCAATGCTCAATGCAGTACATTTGTTTTTAGTTCTAGTCTTAAATTTTTTTAAAAAATCGTTTTAAATAAGCGCACTCTTTTTCTCTACGAATAAACAAACAATTTATTTATTTACTTTCTTGTTTCTTATTTGTTATATTTGTGAAAAGTAATATACTAGTGCAACTCAAAAATTCACAACTGTTTGATTTGTTTTTTAAATGAACAAATTCTAACTGCAATTTTATTTTGACGTTTAAACTTTTATATTACCAGAGCTTGACTAAGGCAGGGGCATACGGCAGGGGCTCCAAATCAAATAGAAAGTTGATTTTAGGTTTCTTTCTTTCATTAACTTTTTTTAAACAAAATATCAGTACAGCGTCGAATCCGTCAGTTATGTTAGCTTCTTCATTAATCTATCGTATGGACACAGAAAAAAATCTATATTTCGTAAATCCATGGCTTTCTAGTGCGGAACCCAGTTAAATGTTCACAATTACGTTGGACAAATTTGGCCAATTAAAAGCCTGCATTTTTACCTATCGCAAAATGCTACATGTTTACAAAAATACAAGCTTCTGATTGGCTTAATTGAGCCTTCGGAGTTGCAAAAATGTAGCTGAATTCCACACTAATGTCACCAAGGATATGAATTTTTCGTAGCTAGATGACTTAGTTAATAATCAGAAAATTACATTCCGCATGATTGACATAGAATTGTCTGAAAATCAATAAAATGAACAGAACGATATTTCGTCTGACCATTGGAGAGGGACTGACCATTGGTTATAGCTAATTTAGGTTCTAGTCAATTTTCTTGTTATAAAGTGAAAATTTAAATATCTCCATAAAGTTTGGTTCTTCATTACTGAAGCAGAGGGGGGCCCACAAAGAAATTTTTCTCCTGTGCCCCGTAAGTCGGGCCCTGTATATTACACTGTTAACATTAAAAAAGCTGCTTTTTTAAAAAAAGATACTGAAGAAATTTAAATTTGTTAAAATTATTTTTAAACTTAAACACAATTCACAAGATATTATTGCAGTAAAATTTATTATCAAAAAAATTCCTTATTTTGTCATACAGCAAATATTGAAATTAGAATTTTTTTACCGTTTACAATTGAAATTTCAAAAGTCGAGTGAGAAAATGGAATGTCCTTAAGCACCAGGAACTGAAGTTAAGCAGTTACAGTTATTTCAAACAAGTTAACGTCTCCGTCCTACTCGAAATTGTTTGAAATTTTTTAATTTATTTATCGATTCCAGAATTTATTCTTAGGTGTATTTTAGGGTATACTTTATGCGTTCTTCTATAGAGTTTTCATTTTTACATAATTATTTGATTAAAAGTATTAAATAATTTGCGTAAAATAAATTATTCAAGCTGTATGATTTCCAGTTTTTACCATTTTTAATTATTCAATGCAAGTTAATTGCGGGGGTGATAAGATCTGTACTTTAAGGTTTTGCGCTTTAATTTCGCAGGAATTTAAAATAAATATCTCAAAAATGAATGACAAAAGTCACAGTTAAGCCAAAGTTTCTCTTGAATTTAGCTTTATAAAATGCTATTTGATTCATAAGTTTTATTAAAGGAGAGGAATATTTACTACCACTTTTTACTCATTTCTTTACCCAGATTAGCTTCATAGCACAGATTGATAGGTTTACACAACTTCAAAAATCTTCGTACCACTTTTTATTTATTACTTATAATTGGGTTTATAAATAATTATTTAATTTATCATGAATTTATTTTTCTATTGCACGCATTATTGAGAGGTTGTGCTATAAAAGACAAGTGATGCTACAAAACAAAAAGATCTCTCACATTTACTATTAATAATAAACTAAGAGATATGCTCTTGGTGCTAAAGGAGACCACAATGGCACGTAATTTCTTTTTTCTTCCCGACTTCCCAGAGTGCTCAGATTTTAACTGAATGTCTAGATGAGAATACAAGTTTCAATTATTTTATAACCAGCAGAATTTATAATCAAATAATCACCAACTAAAATTACTGTTAATTAAAATTTTGACCACTTTCCGAGCATCCAGGGAGCTCAAATTTTAACTGGAACTCTGTGCTTAGTGACAATAAAACTTGTTTCTTAATTTATTTTTGGGAGCAAAATTTATCCGCATTTTTTCGTCAATCAAAATTTTGGCCACATCTCAACGTAAACAAACGTGAATACACAAAATTAGAAAAATAAAATAATGAAATAAAATATAAATTTTAAAAACAACGTTTCTAGAAAAATATGGTCATAATTTTTTTATACCTGAAACGGAAAAACGGGTGGCTATCACTTACGTAAGAATAAATTTTTTTACCAACAAATAATTTTCCAAAATTTTTCAAAAGGGATGCGTTTTACATTTTTCGTTTTAGGTGTGGAAAAATGGAATCATTTTAAAATTTTTATTCCAATGAAAAAAAAAACCTAAATTTTTAATGTTTTTATTCTTTTATTTTAAAATTCTACAATGTAAGACAGGGTGACAATATTCCGGTAAAAAATTAAAAGTAGTAAAAAATATTTTAAGAAGTTGATGAAAACTTGAAAGTTTTCATTTCGTTTCAATGTTAAAAAATCTGTCGCTCAATTTCAGCACTTAAATTTAATTTACAGAGTAGGTGTGATAAAAATGGAATTATTTTTAATTTTTTTAGTCCACTGAAAATATAAATTTTTAATGTTTTTATTCTGTTATTTTAAAATTCTGCAATATAAAACAGGATGACAATATTCCAGTAAAAAATTAAAAGTAGTGAAAAATATTTTAAGAAGTTGATGAAAACTTGAAAGTTTTTATTTCGTTTCAATGTTAAAAAATCTGTCATTCAATTTGAGCACTTATAATTAATTTACAGAGTAGGTGTGATAAAAATTTAATCATTTTTAATTTTTTCAGTCCACTAGAAATAAAAAATTTTAATGTTTTTATTCTATTATTTTACAATTCTACAATGTAAAACAGGGTGACAGTTTTCCAGAAAAAAATTAAAATTAGTTAAAAATATTTTAAGATGTTGTTAAAAACTTGAAAGTCTTTATTTCGCTACAATGTTAAAAAATCTGTCGCCCAATTTGAGCACTTATATTTAATTTACAGAGTAGGTGTGATAAAAATGGAATTATTTTTAATTTTTTTAGTCCACTGAAAATATAAATTTTTAATGTTTTTATTCTGTTATTTTAAAATTCTACAATATAAAACAGGATGACAATATTCCAGTAAAAAATTAAAAGTAGTGAAAAATATTTTAAGAAGTTGTTGAAAACTTGAAAGTTTTCATTTCGTTTCAATGTTAAAAAATCTGTCGCTCAATTTCAGCACTTAAATTTAATGAACAAGCATTTTTTGGTTTATAGGAATTGGTTACAACATTTCGTTTTCCTTATCTTTTTCTACCAGATTTTAAATTTTTTTCAGAGTATAGCCACAGTGAACATTGATACAAAATGACAATGAACTAAAATCAGAGCTTTTTTTTACTGTTCAAACAAAACAAGCATAACTTACCAGAATTTTTTCTCGGCGAATTCATTATTTTTTGCTTTTCCTATTCACTGCGATTGATTATTTCGTAAGACTACTTCATGCCTTTTTACTACAACTTTTAAGTTTAGACTAAATAACTTTAAGGTACGAAGGATATAAATAAATAATTCTCGTCTGAAAAAATATATCGCAGACGATACTAAAAATCAAACGACACCAAGACGGTAAGAATTCTTTGGTCAAAATCTGCTGACCATACATTAGTGCAAGACTTCGTTGAAAGTCGAAGCAGTCTTTGATCGAAATGAAGCAATTTTTTTCAAAAATCCAGTTTAAATTTTTTAAGCACTAATTCTTTCATACGAAAGTGTGAATCGATTTTTCTTATTCTCTAGTCAATCGAATGCGAAACGTTTTGTTCCTAATGATTTAGAATAAATGTCTTGAGTTAAGAGTATCTTTTTATTGCAGCGTCACGGTTGTTTGGAAGATGGCATAGGAACCAATGAGATGTTTCAAAAATCACAGATACGATATCTTCTTTGCCGAAAAGTTTATTCGCGTCTTAAAAATAGTTTTTTTAGTTTTACTTCTTTTGTGTTTTATAAGGGTTGAGTAAACACATTACTAAGAGGCAGGTGTTGCTGGAATGCTAAATGTTCGAAAGCTGAGTTTCGCCATGGATAATTGGAATGTTGACAATGACGATAAGAGTCAATTTTATACCGCTGTTAAAACCGGTGTAATTCCATAGTAAATTTTGAAAAACTATTGTCAACATTTATCAGTTCTTCGTTCATTGTAAGATGTAGGATTAATTCATTTATTACTCGTGCAATATTCACCTATTGTGATTTGATTGTTTTGAGAAAATGATGTAAAACTTTAATATCATTATTATGAGTATTATGCCAAGTATTAGTTAAAGTTTTTACGATGCCTTTAGTTTATTAACCCATTGCGGATTATTGTTGGGGAAACGTAACATATTCCATGAGGCCCCTAGCTGCCGAAACTTTTAATTTTCGAGGGAGTTTTCCTCTTAATATTAATACAGTCAAACCCCGCTATAGTGAACCTTCAAGGGACCGAAATTTTGGTTCACTATAACCGGGAGTTCACTATATCCGTTATGCGGGCAATTTCACTATATGGTTCCCAAATTCCTCCCTTTTATTACACGTTATTCAAATAAATGACTGAAAAATATTACGCAGTAGCAAAAAATTTGTTATTTTTTATTACTCTTCGTCCTGCGTACAAAAAAAAAAATTAGTAATCTTTAGCTGTTGAGCATTCCTCAACATCAGATATGGAAACATTTCCCGACTCTCAGATAATTTTTCCTGAATTTCTGTTAGTCCACTTTTTAAACTTGTCTAATCTGCCATTCGAGCAAGCACATAAAAGTAATCTCATAAAATCGCTTAGCAAATTCATCGACATTTGTCCAGATACTGGAAGATTGCGGCTTCTTTGAATGCTGAACCACTTCAGTAATGCTTCTTCAACATCCTTGTGATCTGCTTTTCTCAACTTTTTTCTGCCATTTAAATTTTTTTCATGAGCAGAAGTTGTTAATTGCCTACTTTTCCATATGTTACGAACTGTAGATTTGGATAGTTTATATTCCCTGCAAATATCAGCTTGATTACATCCATTTTCAATTTTTCTGACTATGCCCATTTTATCATCAATGGAGAACATTTTGCGTTTACTGCTCGCCATAGTTAAATTTGAGACACTTGTTTGCAGGCTTTCTTTAACTGCACTGAGAGCAAAAAGGAGTTGAAATGAGGGCCTTATCAACACATATTAGTGTCCAACTCTTTGACCAATAATGAATAATTACTCATTCCCTCTGACAGAAAATGCATATTGATCCCACTGACACCTTACAGGTGCATCATCTGCCTGGATTGGAAACATCTACTTGATTTGTTTAGGGATGGGAAAGTAAGATAAAAGAAGCAAACAAGAAAAAAATGCTTATCGCTACCTTCTCCACTATAGATGGTTTTAAAAATCGGTATATGTATTTATTTTGAAGTAGAAATTTCGAAATTATTACAAAAAAATGAAGAAAAAAATCAGTCGAAGACAGAAAAAAGTTCATTATACCCAACTTCATCGCTTTTTTGGTTCACTATATCCACAAAAAATAACATTATACGGGTATAGCAAGGCACGGGACCGAACATTTCGTTCACTATATCCGAGAGTTCACTATAAACCATGTTCACTATAGCGGGGTTTGACTGTATTTAATATTTTACTCTTTGTTTAACAAAGTTGTTTTGTTATCATTTTTAAAAATAAATAATTTTTAAAAAAATACGTAAAAGTCTTAGCAGCGTTTGAATGGTTAAAATAACTCCTGTTTATAATTCAAAAATCAATAGTTATTCTACAAAGAGTCTTAACCACTAATACTACAAAGATTCTTAACCAGAAAATTTAAAAATAGCAGCTATGGACTCTACTAACAGCTTCGCTTGATGCTTAAGTTTGCTTAATTTTGTTACCTTTTTAAAGTCTCGCCTGTAAAAATGGGGCTTTTGAATAATTTATACGTAGCTATGGGAATAATAACCTTAAAATAAATTTACTAAACTAAGACTCATACATTAAAATATAAATTTTGCGACAATAAAAAAAAATTCATCCACAAAATGGAGCAGATTGGTATGTGGCATTTTGATGGAATGTAAAAGAACCTTTAAAAACTCGGTTGGACATTTATGCTCGAAAGATTTGATATTTTTTTTCCAATTGGCGCACCAGGACTCTGCCTCCGTAATTTCATTTTGCTTTTTTTACCAGCCTAATTCCTATTTTGAAACATTAAGAAAAGCAACTTTATGGTAGCATATTCGCGATTAAATTACACGATTATTTTATTTATGTAATTACTAATTTGGGTTAAAAATATAACAAATATATATTTAAAAAAACATGATAAATTTCAGAACGAATAATAAATTTTAGTCGTTTTGTTAAAATACGAATTAAATTACGTTTAATTACGAATGTCTTGCTTTTATCAAGGTTAATTTTAACAGTGAAATAATTAAGTTGCCTGTTTTTATCATTTCGAAAAGAAGACGTGATACGGAAATGAAATATTGGAGTTTTGTTATTTTTATTATGAAATACATTACGTTACATACAAACGTGTAGTTAAACGAAGATTAATGTCAATAAAATTCTTAATTTGTCCTGAAGTTGGGCACCTGCCACATTTAGCGCACTAGTTATTTAATCTAAGGTAGACGAGTAGGATTAATTAAAAGAAATGCTAACTTTCTACGTTTTTTGGGAAAATTTCTTCAAGTGGTTATTTAACGATTCTTTCTCATAAAAATTTGATAGGAAGTGACGACTAAACTTCCGACGTTCCTCAGAGTAAATGTAAATAGTGATGAATAATTTATAAATAAGAATAGTACATCTTTTTACTCATCTCGAAAAAAGGCTAGAAATGAAATAGTTTTACTAGTACTAGTTTTTTTCTTTTTTTTTCGTATTGGTCCTACTTTCAGTCCTGCTTTAAAGTTAACTTCTTGTATACATTTTCTTTGGATAGTTACTAATTTCAACGAGGAATATTTTACGAAGTGGCAGTGAAATAGTGGAAATTATTTTACTACCTTTCTGTTTAATGTTTATAAATCCAAGGTTTCGCAGGATGTAAACATTTTCTTTGGATAGTCATACTAACTTCGACGAGAAATATTTTACAAAGTGGTAGTAAAATAGTGGAAATTATTTTACTACCTTTATGTTTATAAATCCAAGGTTTCGCAGTCTGGTATATGTTTTTAGTATAAATATGTATTTTAAATAGAGTACCGACATACTAACAAAGCTATGTTGAAATACATAAATATTCCATAAGCAAGCGAAGTGAATTCGAATTGGGACTCAATCCGAAAGGAACTGAGATAGTAGTTTCGGAGATTGGCGAGCGAAGCGTGTAGAGATTGAACTCCCTAGAATGATTTATTAAAAAAGTCTTAATAATTTGAATTGCAGGTGTTATCATCTTAGCTTTATATGACTGTGCCGTTAAAATTGTTCACTGATTAAAATGTGAATAATTAAAGCGGCAATCGCACAAAAGATTTTATGATATTGTACAAAAAGAAATAAAATTAGATAAGTAAAATAGAGCACTTTAAAATTGTCATAAAACCATAAAAAGTTGTTGCACTATCATCTTTATCCAAATTTCATTTCCTCTACAATATTTAGTTTATGATTTTTTTTCTCCACTGATGTGTACAATTCGAAAATATTTCTCGCCAAATGATCACACCTAGTTCTTCCTGCGGTTGATTGATAATGACAATAAGAATGAAATGAAAAATACGAAAAAAGAGATAGTAAATGTAATTTTTAGTCGCAACTAAAACAAAAAAAACATAAGGAAGCATGACTTCCGAAAAACGTTACTGGGTTTTAAGTAGTCATCGAAATTCATAAATAATGAAACAACCCAAGTATCCCGTTTTACCTCTATTTTACCAACCGTCATGAAAAACCACGAAAACCTCCTAAGGTCAGTCTGACAGCAAGGGGACTCTAACCCATGACCCGTCAACCACTGAGGATATTTTACGTCAGCACTGTGGTCGGTGCGATTCCGTTGCGGAATTCGCATCAGTCAGCCATCACTGGGATTCGAACCCGAGCCACCTCATTGGGAGGCTCTATCCCCTGAGCCAGCTCAGCTCAGAGAGAAATTATTAAAAAGAGTCCCTTTTTTCGACGGGTAAAGTAAAACTAAATATATATTTAAATATATATTTTGTCTCGCTAATGTCTTGCCCGACTAAAATTTTCAATCTGATTTCGAATGAAAATTTTAGTCATGCGAGAAGTTAGCAAGTGTGACCTTAAACCCAGTGGCTCCCTATTTTTACGGGGGCAATGGAACTCTAAATGATCGAGCTTCTTTGGGGAGGAGCCCCTGCATTACTTAACCCTTTCGAGCCGACTGTCACAAATACGTGCCAGCATAAAACCGTGTCAACCAGGGTAAGAAGATTAAACTGGAAATCAAAATAATTCTTTAACAGTTTATTTGTGGGCGGAGTTATAATTGTTTGATTTATTTAATTCACCATTACTTTGTTCAAAATAAAACTATTTAGTTATACTTTGAATTAACATTGATTATATAGTATATGATTAAACTAACAATAATTGAAGTAAAAGCAAAGTAAGTCTGTCAAATCAGCAACGACTACATTTAAGTTACCGTTTTTTATTTAATTACAACTTAATTCTGATTTTGTGCGAATGCTTTTCTGAATCAACCGTCCCCAAAAGGTTAAAAAAAAAACTGACTTAACAAAAAAATGACTACTAACTATTTTTAAAATATTGAATGTAAAGAATTAAATATTTGGAATTTCTTTTAGGGGTATGCATATGTTGATATGAGCTGAATTATGGATTTCGAAAAAGAACTGTTGTAAGCGTTTAAATTAGTTATCAGAGAACATAATTCTTTATTCTTGATTTCAGTTATTTTATTTCAATCGAAGG